TGCTGTATTGGCTAAATTTAAAAGATCTAGGTTTAAAGAAAAAACAAACATTGTTTTGGTCTGCTTATCTAATGGTGATCTTTTGCCTTCATTTCTAGAAGGAATATTAGATTCAGATTGAAGACCCTAAATATAGTTTGTATAGATCACAGAGTTTGGCATGTACCATAGTTTGCTAATAAATGCTGTTAGAATGGGTGGACATTATATATATTATATATCATATATGTATAATATATATACTCATATGCATATTGTATATTTATGTAATATATATCCTCAGGTCTCCTGCATTGCTGGCAGATTCTATACAGTCTGATTCACTGGGTAAGTCCATGTAATGTGTGCTGTGCTGTGCTTAGTCACTTAGTCATGTCTGACTCTGCGACCCCATAGACTGTAGCCCACTAGGCTCCTCTCTTCACGGGGATTCTCCAGGCAAGAATACTGGGGTGGGTTACCATTTCCTCCTCCAGGGGATCTTCCCAACCCAGGGATCAAACCCAGGTCTCCCGCACTGCAGGTGGATTCTTTACCATCTGAACCACTAGGGAACCCCCCATATATCTATCTATCTATCTATCTATCTACACATAGAGAGAGAGAGATAGGCTACCCACGCCAGTATTCTTGGGTTTCCCTGGTGGCTCAGCTGGCAAAGAATCTGCCTGCAATGCAAGAGACCTGGGTTTGATACCTGTGTTGGGAAGATCCCCTGGAGAAGGGAAAGGCTACCCACGCCAGTATTCTGGCCTGGAGAATTCCATGGACTGTCTAGGCCATGGGGTTGCAGAGTTGGACATGACTGAGGGACTTTCACTCCATATATATATATGCATATATGTGTGTATGTGTGCATGTGCACTCAGTTGCTCAGCTGTGTCCAGCTCTTTGTGACCTACCCCATGGACTGTAGCCAGGCTACTCTGACCATGGGATAACTCAGGCGAGAATACTGGAGTGAGTTGCTGTTTCCTACAACAGAGGATCTTACCAACCCAGGGGTTGAACCCTTGTCTCCTGCATCTCCTGCTTTGGCAGGCAGATTCTTTACCACTGTGCCACCTGGGAAACCCATAAACTTCTATATTGTTTGAAGTTTTCCAAGCAAGGTGTTGTGTGATCAGAAGACCTGAAAGGTGTGTTGGGGGCAGTGATGAGTAGAGCATAGGGGTGCCTGGTTTAAGATTAGTGACGAGACAAGAGGGGTGCCTCCTGCAGAGAGCTCTTTTCTGCCAAAGGCTTTTCCTGCCAAAAGTTGCTTATACCAAGGGTCCGATTTCCTAACTGCTCAAGTACCAATGCCTTCAAGATCCTCCTGAATCTTTTTTCTGAACTGAATTTTTTCAGTTCTCCTCTATCAGTCTATATTTACATTAACTCACACACTTTCTTCCACCATTTCTGATGTCAAGAGTTCAATGGTTGTTTCTCTACCTGGAATATGGTTTCTGCCATCCCCAAATCTACAAGGTCGATTCCAAGTGCTGTCTCTGCCTTTTATGATGTACTGGGATTCAAGGCATCACTCTTGTCTCTTGTCCATAGCCTCTTGCCTGGCCTGCTCTTTAGGCACTTGCTATATTCTGCTGCAAATTTCAATGGTGTCCTCCCTCATCAAAAATTCACATGTTGAAATCCTAATTTCCAGGACCTCAGAATGTTACCTGACTTAGAAATAGGGTCATTATAGATGTAATTACTTGAGGTGAAGTCATACTGGAGTAGGGTGAACCCCTAATTCAACAGGACTGAGGTCTTTATAAGAAAACAGCCATGGGCAAGCAACATGTGATAACAAAGGCAGCTTCCAGCCAAGGAAATCAGTCCTGGCTATTCATTGGAAAGACTGATACTGAAGCTGAAACTCCAATACTTTGGCCACCTGATGTGAACTCATTTGAAAAGACCCTGATGCTGGGAAATATTGAAGATGGGAAGAGAAGGGGACGACAGAAGGTGATACTGTTGGATGGCATTACCAACTCAATGGACATAAGTTTGAATAAACTCCCAGAGTTGGTGATGGACAGGAAGGCTTGGCATGCTGCAGTCCATGGGGTTGCAAAGAGTCCGACTGAGCGACTGAACTGAACTGCCATACAGTAGCCATAAGTATACATATGTCCCCTCTCTCTTGAACCTTGATTTTGTTTTTAAAGATGGTGGTTGGAGTGGTTTTCTGGTGCTTTGGAATTTTCTAGAACAAATAGTTCATTTATTAACTAATGTTTATGAAGCATAGTATGAATAGTGTATACTGTGAAAGTTGCCTAGTCATATCTGACTCTTTGCGACCCCATGGACTATACAGTCCATGGAATTCTCCCGGCCAGAATACTGGAGTGGGTAGCCTTTCCCTTCTCCAGCGGATCTTCCCAACCCAGGGCTCGAACCCAGGTCTTCCTCTGACCTCTAGAAGTGTGGAACAATACATTTCTGTTGTTTCCACTCACTCAATTTATGGAACTTTGTTACAGAAATCTTAGGAAATTAACACAGGGGTTAAGTATCCTGCATTTGAGTGGTACATAAAGACCTGCTATTGGTTTCTCCATTTGGTTCTACATCTAGCACTTTTCTGAGCTCTCTTACTAGATCTAATGATTTATCAGTTGGTTTTATTAATATTTCTAGGTATCCAGGTTTGTTTCTGACAGTAACTAGAATATAGCCAAAGTCTCTTCATTAAATAAAATATTTTTTGTATGTTACCAGGAAATTTCTAGGCAGTAAGTGATATTCTTTATAGTCTCAAGGACAAAAAACAGCTTTCAAATTTTATAAGAAACTTTCTTTATAAGTTAAGGTAGTCTTCTCAATTTTCTCCTTCAGCATAGTGAATTAGCAAATTTTATAAGTGAATTGTTTCTACACATTCCTTCTCTGGAAAAATCCTTAGTTTGGAATCCATATGACATTTGTCTCAAAAAATAATGCAGGCAGTTTTCACTCCTTTTTTCCATTTTCTAACACAGATTCATAAGGAAGGAATTAAGTATTTTAAAGAATTTGGAAAGTTTATCTAAGAGGGGTTTGAAAAATGTATGTATTTCTTTAACCTTTTCAAAAAGTCCAAAGTAAATGAAAAAGTGAAAAACTTGATTCCCAGTAGAAAGAAAGAGGGAACAGAAGTCACACTTTTCTAAGTGTACCTTGTTTTGTGCATTTGACTTTGGAAGCATGTGAATATTTTACATATTTATTCAACACAATTCACATTTGAAAATCCATAAAAACTGAAAATAAAATGAAACGGATGAGCTTCAGTGTGAACTAAGTAGGCGGCATAACCACAAAGGAATCATTTCAAACAACTTTAAAGCATAATAATTTGACCTGTACATCTCTAGTGAAATACACACTAAGGACAAAAGAATTACAAAAGTGGATGAAAGAACTAAAAAAACAGGCAAAACTTGTATTTGGTGACCCAATTTTTGGTGGTTGTTTGGTATTGTTAGACTGAGACTGTTGTGTATATGCTATGGGGTAAAACAAGTGAGCACTTCTGTTAACTGGTGAATGGGATTTTGGTATAGAAGGAAAGAGGATGTGAGCTAAGTACAGTTGGCAAAGCCTCTGCAGTCTTGATTTTCAATGAGAACTATTTATATGAACTAATGGGGTATTTAAAATTTCCTACTCTGTCTTCTGAGAAGATCCAGAAAACACTGCTCAGCCTACTAGCAATGAATATGCCTAGGGCGTAGATTGTGGTCCCTAAATACCATTTACTTCATAAAAAGCTGTTGAGACAACTTAGAAACCAACTTAGAGAGGTTCCCAGTGGCCAAATAGAAGACAGTTTGAGTATCACTAAAAATGTTATGGCAATGAATTGCAATATTATGTTAAATGAAAAATTTATCTAGGCATAAAATTGTGGATTCAAAGAGTTTTTATTTCAATTAAAACATTACTTTATTGTATTTTTGGTACCAGTGTTGCTATTTAAAAGTATGATGTCAATTTCACTGTGTGTGTGTGTGTGTGTGTGTGTGCTATCACCATTTCTGTTCCACAATAATGAAGGTCTTAGCCAATGCTATGCTTCTCTAGTAGCTCAGATGGTAGAGCATCTGTGGGCAATGCAGGAGACCTGGGTTCCATCCCTGGGCTGGGAAGATCCCCTGGAGAAAGAAATGGCAACCCACTCCAGTGTTCTTGCCTGGAGAATTCCATGGACAGAGGAGCCTGGAGGGCTACAGCCCATGGGGTTGCAAAGAGTCAGACACAAGTGAGAGACTAACACACACATAGTCAATTCTACTAATGCAAGAAAAAAAATATGAGAGGGATAAGGATCAAAATGGAAACATCAAATCATCATTATTCATAGATGATATAGTTGTGTCTCTAGTAATCACAGTGAACCTCCAATCCCTGAATAAGATGGAAATGCTCCTGGAAAGTGACATAAAAAATCAGTAATGTTTTATACACTAACAACAACTAACAAAAATGTAATAAGGGTAGGACATGCATGAGTGGTCAGTTGCTCAGTAATGTCTGACTTTTTTATGACCAAACAGATTGTAGCCTGCCAGGCTCCTCTGTCCATGGAATTATCAAGGCAAAAATACTGGAATGGGCTGACATTTCCTACTACAGGGGATCTTCCCAACCCAGGGACTGAATTTACTTGTGTCTCTCGCATCTCCTGCACTGGCAGGAGGATTCTTTACCACCTGAGAAGCCCATGGTAAGGACATGTTTTGCTATTCTAACAAAAGCTATAAGCATCTAAGAATAAATTTAGAGAAAATGTGGAATACAATCATTGAGAAAAAATAACAAAATATTTAAAGGGCATACAAGAAAATCTGAACTAATGAAGGCATATGCAAGGATCATGGATGGAAAGAGGGTGGCTTTGTCAGGATTTCCGTTTTCTTTCAAACAAATATATCAGTTTAATGTAATTCTAAAACAAAACTTGAAAAGATTTTTAAAAGGTAAATGTAAGCTCTTTTCCCATTATCGCGGTGTAGGGAACCATGAGCAGCAAAGTCTCCCGCGACACCCTCTACGAGGCAGTGCGGGAAGTCCTGCACGGGAACCAGCGCAAGCGCAGGAAGTTTTTGGAGACTGTGGAGCTTCAGATCAGCCTGAAGAACTATGACCCTCAGAAGGACAAACGCTTCTCGGGCACTGTCAGGCTTAAGTCCACTCCCCGCCCCAAGTTCTCCATGTGTGTCTTGGGGGACCAGCAGCATTGTGATGAGGCCGAGGCTGTGGATATCCCCCACATGGACACTGAGGCACTGAAGAAACCCAACAAGAATAAGAAACTGGTCAAGAAGCTGGCCAAGAAATATGATGCCTTTTTGGCTTCAGAGTCTCTGACCAAGCAGATCCCCCGAATCCTGAGCCCAGGCCTGAACAAGGCTGGCAAGTTCCCTTCCTTGCTGACCCACAATGAGAACATGGTGGCCAAAGTTGATGAAGTGAAGTCCACGATCAAGTTCCAGATGAAGAAGGTGCTGTGTCTGGCAGTGGCTGTTGGCCACGTGAAGATGACAGATGATGAGCTTGTGTACAACATCCACTTAGCTGTCAACTTCTGGTGTCATTGCTCAAGAAAAATTGGCAGAACGTCAGGGCCTTGTACATTAAGAGCACCATGGGCAACCCCCAGCGTCTCTACTAAGCCACAGCTTAATAAACCAGGCTAAACCAAAAATAAAAAAAAAAAAGGTAAATGTAAAACTCAACCAAATATATTTTTTAAAGTGCCTAGAACCTAACAGAAAAAAATCAAATAAACTATACAAATGGAGCATTTACATAAAAGGAAGTTCAAATAAATTATTTCAAATAATTTCCAATCTTAAGGAAATTCAAGTTAAAACTATAATGATATGCCATAACCCCTCAGATTAGGGAGTGTACATGTGGGTGGGAGAGAAAGGAGATATTCCAGTTAGTAAAGATTCAAGGAAACAGTAGCTATCATACACTGTTGGAAGTATAAATTGATAACACCCCATTTTGGAAAGCAACTTGGCAGTATCTTCTTGCTTGTGCATACGGTCCAAATCAGCAATTAAATTTTTAAGTTCATGTTTCAAAATAACTTCTAAATTTATACAAGAAAATATGTACAGAGGTATTTATTGCAGCATTATGTACAATGGCACAATTTGAATGAAAAATTCTTAAATGAATAAATTCCAGTAGTCATGTATAGATGTGAGAATTGGATGTAAAGAAGACTCAGTGTTTTCAAACTGTGGTGTTGGAGAAGACTCTTGAGAGTCCCTTGGACTGCAAGGAGATCCAACCAGTCCATCCTAAAGGAAATCAACCCTGACTATTCATTGGAAAGACTGATGCTGAAGCTGAAGCGCCAATACTTGGCCACCTGATGCAAAGAACTGACTCATTGGAAAAGATCCTGATGCTGGAAAAGATCGAAGGCAGGAGAAGGGATGAGACAGAAGATGAGATGATTGGATGGCATCACCGACTCAATGGACATGAGTCTAAGCAAACTCGGGGAGATAAGGACAGGGAAGCCTGAAATGCTCAGTTCATGGGGTCACAAAGAGTCGCACTCGACTGAGTGCTGGAACAACAACAATATTTTCATGCTATAGATTATTATATAAGAGTTATAAATACAGATTCTATATTAAATTATATCCTGACAAATCTATCATAATTTGAAGATATCAAAAATTGGAATAAATTTAATGCCCCTAAATTACTGAACATCATAGCTTACCTAGCTTATCTTAAACATGCTCATAACTGCTAATTAGCCTACAGCTGGGCAAACACAAAGCCTATTGTATAATAAAGTTGACTATCCCATGTAATGTTTTTGAACTGTGGTGTTGGAGAAGACTTTTGAGAGTCCCTTGGACAGCAAGGAGATCCAACCAGTCCATCCTAAAGGAAATCAATCCTAAATATTCATTGGAAGGACTGATGCTGAAGCTGAAACTCCAAGATGTTGGCCACCTGATGCAAAGAACTGACTCATTTGAAAAGACCCTGATGCTGGGAAAGATTGAAGGTGGGAGGAGAAGGGGACGACAGAGGATGAGATGGTTGGATGGCATCACTGACTCAGTGGACTTGAGTTTGAGTAAACTCTGGGAGTTGTTGATGGACAGGGAGGCCTGGTGTGCTGTAGTCCATGGGGCTGCAAAGAGTCAAACACGACTGAGCGACTGAACTGCACTGAACTAATCCCATGTAATTGATTGACTGCTGTACTGAACATGGAAAACAGAATGGTTGTGTGTATGGCTGACTGGGAGCTAGAGTTGGATATTACACAAGAACGTTGAAGGAAAAGAGCATAGTTCAAAATTAAAATACATTTTCTACTATATACATATTGCTTTCCCACCATCCTAAAGTCAGAAAATTATAAATCAAACCATCATAAGTCGGGTAACTGCCTGTGGTCAACTGAGTCAACAAGGATACTAATCTCAGAAACAGTGAGTAAATGAAACAAGATGTAGCATTATACAATTTATATAAATTTAAATTGCATCAAGACCTTCCTCAATATTACTATATTTGATATGGATACATATATACACTATAAAATTATTTCAAAAAATATATTTAAAAAATGAGAAAGAGAGCAACTTTATGATTGTCTTTGGGGATCATGATGGAATCAGTTAGTCTGGTTTATTGAGACAGGGTTACAGTCTAGTACCCCTACGTGCAAAAGTCATTTTCTGAATAAACTTCTAAAAACTTTGCAAAAGTACATACCTTAAACATTAGGATGAAGTGTTAAATGGGTTTCATAACTCTCACTGCCTGATTTTGATTGGAAGGAAGCCTTAAGTCAACTTTTTATTGTCTCTAGTGGTGAGTAGCACTGAAGAATGTATATTTCTCAGTATTAATCTCTCCTCGTAGCTTTGATTTACACACCTATATTTTCTCTTTGCCATTACCTTTTCAACTCTTTGTCTTCTGTGTGTTTTTTGAAAGCCATCTCAAGTCTTCTATGAAATAAAGTGGAACATAAATAAGCAGAAAAGAAAATAAGCAAAAGCCATCTGCACTCCAGCCAAGAAAGTGGTTTTGTTTTCTTTGCTGTTACTGGTGATCCACCCTAAGATTTTTTTTTTTCCTGCAGGAAAAGCACATACTTTATGAAAAACCTTTCTTTATGCCCATTTCCCTCAAACTTCCACCTATTTTATTTTGATGCATAGTGAAAAAATGGATCCAATAATTCTTTAAGACAGTAAATTGTGTATAATGGCAGAGAGAAGTAGGCTACGTGAGACTGGAAGAGATGACTGCACCACTGATGATTTCCCCTCATTTCCAGAGGGAGATCTTCATACTCACACCTCTGTTTGTGGACATTCAGATGTGTTGTGTTCTCGATGGTCTATGACAATTATTCTTCAACGTAGACGTTTTTTTCCACATACTATAGAACTGTTCTTCTCTTGCACCACTTTGCCATCCCTCAAGGTCATGCTTGCCAACAAAAACTTTGAAAAATAGTTTGACTGAATTCCCCCCAAGACACACCATAGCCTCTAGTTTTGAAATCTACTTGGAAGTTTAACCATCTGCCTCTTGTCTTCATACTCTATGACCTGTCTCAAAAATACAAACTACAACTTTGTAATATTTTCTCATATCGTTTGTATAAGTGCTGCTTTTGGAGCTATTGATCCCAAATTTCAATATCCTTTATTAAGACCTCATAGCAGCCCCCCTTCTTTTTTTTGGATGAGACTCACTCCTGACTTTATCTTATATTTTATTTCCTAGTTATTCCTTCATTCTCATTTCTATACTTGAAAAAAAAATCTTGTGGTATAAAGTGGCACTTGACTAATAAAAAGACATTGTGTTAGAAATATATATACTTTAAAATTTCACAGTAGACAAAAATAATTTTTCTGGTAGTTTTTTTAGTAATAAAACATAAAGTTTTGTTACCTTAGAAAAAACAGTTTATTCCTTGTATGTCTTCACAAACACATTGTCCATGTATATTCTCCATTCATGGGACAACTTTCTTTTTGCTGGACAATTTTTTGACTAAGACTGTAATAACAGGTCTTCCCTAGGGTGGCTCAGTGGTAAAGAACCCACCTGCCAATGCAGGAGACACAGATTCGATCCCTAGGTCAGGAAGAGTCCCTGGAGAAGTAAATGGCAACCCACTTCAGTATTCTTACCTGGGAAATCCCATGGACAGAGGAGCCTGGTGGGCTACAGTCCATGAGGTCGCAAAGAGTTGGACAAAACTTAGCAACTCAGTAATGACAATGATGTTTAGAAAAGCAGGAATCAAGAGCTAAGATCAATGTTGCATAATGATCTCATCTTTATGATTAAGGTCTAAGGAAAATAAAGATGAACAAATGGAAAAGCAATAAAGGAGCTGCTTACATTTAGCAAATCATAACAGACCATTGGCTTGCTGGAGTATAAGACGTGGGTGCCTCCCTGTGCATCAATATATGCTTGATTGTTGGACTATATCCCAATGATGCTAATTCATGAGGGGCAGTTGGCTGCCATCTAGAACATGGATTTTGAAGGGTTGGCCTGAGCAATTGGTGAAGAAGGTTATGGTTGGTCTTGGCGTCTTCACCTGTCCCCATTTCATGCCTGAGGTTAGTGGGGGTGTTCGAGACAGAGGGCTCATGTTTTCATCTGTGTCCAGTGACTCACATGTTCCCTTTCTTTTCCAAAACCTACACCCAGGAACCTTTTGATAGCAGAACTCAGTTACTAAAAGCTGTGTAAATCCATGAAAGGTGACAGGTCCCAGGTATGTTTTCATGTCACACTTTAAACAAGGAACAGCTTGCTTTTGAAGGAACATCAGCCACAGTTACTCTCTGGGGCTGGAGCACTTTTGTGATGGTCTGCACGCAAGTTCTGGCCTAGGGAAGAAAGCTGGCCGCAGAGACAGCACTGAGGCTATTCATTTGCTGGAATGACAATTGTGCAAATAAGGGTGAATGGCACACTTTGGTAGTCATCCAACCTTTTAGCAGGCAGCACGGGAGAGTAAAGTGCCAGGCCAGGAAAGGGTGAAGTTTCATAACTGGCTGTAAAACATCAGAAAATAGCTTCATAAATGATTAACACAGTTGAGAGCTACTGTTCTCTGTTCTCAAAAGAACACAAGGCATTTTACTGAATATGTGTGAATACGTGTTTCTGCGTGCATTTAAAACCAAACTTTGGAACTTCCCTGGTGGTCCAGTGGTTAAGACTTCCTTTTCCATTGCAGAGGGTATGGGTCCTATCCCTGGTGGGGAGAGCTAAGATCCTACATGCTTTGTGGCTAAACAAAACAAAACAAAACAAAACAAAACAAAACAAAAAAACACCATAAAACAGAAGTAATATTGTAACAAATTCAACAAAGACTTTAAAAATGGTCCACATCAAAAAAATTTTAAAAACATTAACAAAGAGCATAGAAGAGCTTTTGTTTTCTTCTCTTGCACTTAGCCCCTTGCATCCTACCTATTTCTAAGTGAACTTACGGCAATGGGATTGGCAGGGCACATACGTATGTGTGTGGACAGTATCTTAGATAAAACGTCACGCACGTCACATAGATAAAAGCAAGTCATGAGTAAATATGATATCCTCCCTTCACCCCATAGTTTTTTAGTTTACTTGCCAGTTCTGAGGGCATAGAATGAAAGAAGTTCAGAAGGACAAAATCAATTTATACTCGGAGGACAGGGAGGATGAGGAAAGAAAACAGGTGGCTCCTGAGAGAAGAAAGCCCAAACTGAGTTCTTTGGGAATCTGGGGGGAGTTTTGAGAGATGAGGGAGACAGGAGAAGTTTGGTTACACTCTGATGTGGACCGCACTGGAAGATGAAGATTTTTGGAAGTATTTCTCTGACTTTTTTTTTTTTTTTTGGCTGAGCCAGGTCTTACTTAAGGCATGCGGGATCTTCATTGCAGAATGAGAACTCTTAGTTGCCGTGAGTAGGATCTAGTCCCCTAACCAGGGATCAAACCTGGGCATTGGGAACATGGAGTCTTAACCACTGGTCTGTCAGGAAAGTTCCTTTCTGGCTTCTTTAATTCATCTCCCACTTTGAAATTTGCTAAGAGATTGCAGTGAAGAGTCACTTTTCTTTTCTTTTTCAATATGAAGTGTCATACTTTTCTGGATAACTGTAATTCTGTACTGAAATGGACCACAAAGCAATTCAGCTTTTCAGAGGGTCTACGTCTGTCTATCCACCCCTTTAATTCAGCATATGTTAATTTTACGTTGCAGTAGTAGGTTGTCCAATCCAGAACAGGACAAAGTGAAAAAATAAAAGTGCCTCCGGGTTCTAGAGTTGGAAAGGGCTAGCCTCTCTCCATCTCCACCTGCTTGCTCTCAGGTCTCTTGTCTTCACTTGGCCTCTTTCTTTCTTGAAAGGGGAGTCAGAAGAAACTCATGGTTCCCTAGAGTTGGCCCAGAACCCTGGTGGGCCTTCATAAACTGGGCTGAGTCAGACTTTACCCTCTGGGCATCGGTGAACCAGATAAGATTTTGAAGCAGGGGAGTGGTGTGATTAGAGCTGCTCTCAAGTGCCCTGTGATGAGGAAATAAACAAATTATAAAGTGTTTGACCAAGCAGTTTATGGAGGGCAGAAGGAAGGAGGGGAGGGGAGAGGGGGTAATTACAATCGACCAGGAAAATTTGCAAATAACTTAGAAAATGTGAAACTCCCAGGATAGAATTAAGTGGCTCCTGTGAAATGGACTCTCTCCTATTCATGTTTAAACATGAAACATTAATTTCAGCCTCCTGGGAGGGGTAGACACCTCAACAGAAAATTAAGATTCAACAGTTACTTATTAGTGAGCATTTACCATGGGATTTCTGAGCACTTTTCACATATTAGCTCATATAATCCACACAAGGATTTGATGAAGCAGATTCTGTTTTAGGTCCATCTTTCAGAAAAAAGAAAAAAAAGAAAAAGAAAAAATGAGGTACAGAGGTGCATTAGCTGATTTATCCAGGGAGTCATTTAACTCCCTGTATGGTTGGCCGAGCTTGTGGTTGCATTTAGGTGGCTTGGCCCAGGATGCTGAAGCCGAAAGTCCAATACTTTGGGCCCCTGATGCGAAGAATTGACTCATTGGAAAAGACCCTGATGCTGGGAAAGATTGAAGGCTGGAGAAGGGGACAACAGAGGATGAGATGATTGGATGGCATCACCGACTCGATGGACATGAGTTTGAGTAAGCTCCGGGAGTTGGTGATGGACAGGGAGGCCTGGCGGGCTGCATTCCATGGGGTCGTAAAGAGTCGGACACGACTGAGCGACTGAACTGAACTGGCCCCTAAGCGGCTCTCAAACACAGCCCTGTGCTGCCACCTGATGGTCGCAGTCGGGCAGTGCATCAGTAGAAGTGTGTCCTGGCGGGTCCACGTGGGGATGTCAGAGCAGGCTCCCTGGAGGACGTGACCTCGTCGCAGAAATGAGGGAGGTTAGGCTGGAAAGCATTTCAGGCAGAGACAGCAGCACGCTGCAAAGCACAAAGGCTACAGTCAGGGCGCCGTTCGTGGGGGAAAGTGACCAATTTGCTCGTCTTTCCGTTTTCTTTTGGGAGAAGATCCTCGTGTATTTCTAGAACGGGAAAATGAAACAGGCCCTCGCACCGGGCCTCAGAACTTCCCGACAAGGTTGGGGTGCCGCGCTCACGAGTGCCCAGAAGGCCGTTTTGGAAAACGTGCACGTGATCGTGGAGAGAAAGGACCCAGTCTTCGTGCTGCAGAGTTTCATCAAGTGGAAAACCAGGGATGCGAAGGGATGGGACTCAACCTCCCCCCCGCCCCCCAGACTTCGCATCCCACCACCAACCCCCACCCTCACCCGGTCTTTTGTCTCCCGACACTCCTCAGCCCCGGTGACACCGGCTCCATTTCTCCTGATCCCTCGAGGAGTGTAGAGCGCGGTGGGCTACCACGGGGCTGCCAGAGATGACCTCGCCTTGAGTTCCTGCTCTGCCATCATGAAAACTCCAAGAGGTTATTTCAGGCCAGTTCGTTTGGGCACATGGGTCGGCAGCTTTGTAAGAGTTCTTGGGGGAGGCAGGAAAATTGGGCGCTCTGGGTGCATTTAGATGAAGGAGGTCTTTTTTAGAGCTGAAGGGTAAGTCCCAGCTGACTTGTGAGAATGACCAGTTTCATCCTTTACTGTATCATCCCCAGCATTTTTGGCTCTTGCATCTGGACAAAAGGAGGACTCAATATTTTCTTCTTTTTTTATGCTTAAAATTTTTTTATTTGACGAACAATTGCTTTCCAGTGTTGTTAGTTTCTGCTGTACAATGTGAATCAGCTCTAAGTGTACATATATCCCCTCGCTCTTAAGCCTCCCTCCTCCCCAGAAACCTTCCCCTTTAGGTGACCACAGAGCACTGAAATGAGCAACCCGTGTTGTATAGCAGCTTCCTGCCAGCTATAACCGTAGATTTCTTATGAAAGACCCTGTTATGGGCTGAGTTGTGTCTCCCGTACAAAATTCATATATTCATGTCCTAACAATAACCCTTGGACTGCAAGGAGATCCAACCAGTCCATCCTAAAGGAGATCAGTCCTGGGTGTTCATTGGAAGGACTGATGCTGAAGCTGAAACCCCAATACTTTGGCCACCCAATGTGAAGCACTGACTCACTGGAAAAGACCCTGCTGCTGGGAAAGACTGAAGGCAGGAGGAGAAGGGGACGACAGAGGATGAGATGGCTGGATGGCATCACCGACTCGATGGACATGAGTTTGGGTAAACTCTGGGAGTTGGTGATGGACAGGGAGGCCTGGCGTGCTGTGATTCATGGGGTTGCAGAGTCGGACATGACTGAGCGACTGAACTGAACCCCAATACCTGAGAACGTGGCAATGCTTGGAGGTAGAACCTCTAAAAAGATAATGACAGTTAAATGAAGCCATTGAGGTGGACCCTACTCTAGTATGACTCTTGTCTTAAGAAGAGATTGGAACACAGACATACCAAGAGGAAAGACCATGTAAAGACATTGTAGGGGACTTCCCTGGTGATTTAGTGGTAAAGAATCCACCTGCCAATGCAGGGGACATGGGTTCGATCCCTGGTCTGGTAGGATCCCACATGCCGTGGAGCAACTAAGCTCATGTGTCACCAACTACTAAAGTCTTGCTCTCCAGAGCCTGTGCTTTGCAATGAGAGAAGCTACGTCAATGAGAAGCCCGAACACCATAATGAAAGAGTGGCCTCTGCCTGCTGCAACTAGAGAAAGCTGTTGAGCAGCAATGAAGACTCAGCACAGCAGGGAATTAATTAATTAAAAATAAAAAGCCTGCAGGAAGGTGGCCACCTACAACCTCCAGGGAGAAGTCTCTGCAGACGTCAACCATGCTGGCACCTTCAGCGTGGACATCCAGCCTCCAGAAATGTGAGACAGTAGATTTTTGCTCTTGAAGTCATCTGGTGTGTGGTACTCTGTTATGGGAGCCCAAGCAAATTAATATAGGCATCTTTGTGAAATGATAACCCCCAGTGATGGTGAGTGAATAATGTGAGTGGTTTCTCTGTTAGACTCCACGTCATCTGATGCTTAAGATATTATCCTGTTGACAGGGTACCTTCGGGAGATTTGCTACCATTAACCCGTTTTGTGTTCATATCAGGGCCTCATCTGGAGTTTGCAAGAGTAGGTGATTTAGAGCAAGGGTCAGAAACTCATGGTTGAGGCCCAAATCTGACCTGCCACCTGCTTTTATTCAGCCCATGAGCTAAGACCAGTTTTTACATGTCTAATTGGTTGGGGGGAAAAATCAAGTGAATGTAGCATTTTATAAGGAGAAGGAAATGACAACCCACTCCAGTACTCTTGCCTGGAAAACCCCATGGACGGAGGAGCCTGGTAGGCTGCAGTCCATGGGGTCGCTAAGAGTCAGACACGACTGAGTGACTTCACTTTCACTTTTCACTTTCATGCATTGGAGAAGGAAATGGCAGCCCACTCCAGTGTTCTTGCCTGGAGAGTCCCAGGGACGGAGGAGCCTGGTGGGCAGCCATCTATGTGGTCGCACAAAAGTTGGACACGACTGAAGCGACTTAGCAGCAGCAGCAGCAGCAGCAGCATTTTATAATGTGAGAGTTTTACAAAATTTACATTTAAGTGCCATCAACTTTCACAGGAACCCAGTCCTGCCCATTCGTGTGCTTGCCCATGGACTCTTGTGTTACAAGGACAGAATAGAGTAGTTGTGACATGCACCCCGTGGCCTGCAAAGTCTAAAAATTTACCATCTGGGGCTTTACAGGAAAGGTTTGCCCTGATTTGAGCACAGCATCGGTCAGTGATGGAAGATGGCTTTTTCTGGGATGGTTGTCATCTTCCACAGACCACATGGCTGCAGGACAGAGGTGGATGTGGGGCTTGAGGGAGAGAGACTGGAGGAGTTGGCAGGAGCTGGACCACAAAGGGCTTAGGGCCACGTGAAGAATTTTGTCTTCATCCAAACAGTGGTGGGAAGCCACGACTGTACATGAATATGACTCCACCATGCCAACGAGGCCAGGTGCTTATAAATCACTTATTAAACTGACCTAGGAGGAGCAAAATCCTTTTTATATCATCTGACTTTTGGATAGACTCTTTTTTTTTTTTGGCCATGCCATGCAACTTGTGGGATCTTAGTTCCCTGATGAGGGACTGAACCCAGGCCCTTGGCAGTGCAAGCACCGAGTCCCAACCATTGGACTGCCAAGATTGGAATTCCCAAGACACTGGAATTCCCAACCATTGGAATTCCCAAGACAAATTCTCGACAAAAGATGAATTCTTCTTTACTGCTGGTGCTGTGAATTGCCAGAAACCAGACTGCAGTTCTAAGAATAATGCTGCCAACCCACCGTGGTGAGTGGGTGCATGGAGGGGGAAGGATCACTTCCTCAGGATTCCTCTGATCCCCTCACTCTGTCCAGCAGCTTTTGGCCACAACCTCAGCCCGGGTAGAGACACACCCCACCGCCGACCCCTAAAATCCCACCGTGCTATCTGGGTAAAAGTAGCCTGTTTCCCCTAGTTGATAACCCCAGACTAACTATTGAGAACAATTTTTAAAAAAATATTTTTATTTTGTATTGGAGCATAACTGAAACAAGCAACGTGATAGTTTCAGGTGAATAGTAAAGGGACTCAGCCATCCATACACATGCATCCATTCTCCCCCAAACTCCCCTCCCACCCACGCTGCCACAGAACACTGAGCAGAGTTCCTTGTGCTACACAGTAGGACCTTGTTGGTTATCCGTTTTAAATACAGCAGTGTGTACATGTCCATCCCAAACTCACTAACTATCTCTTCTCTTCATCCTTCCTCCATGGCAACCGTAAGTTCTGAGAATAATTTTTTAAAGAATTATTAAATATGTGTATGTATATACAGATAAATATGTGTATCAATTGGCTTCCCTGGTAGCTCAGCTGGTAAAGAATCTGCCTGCAATGCAGGAGACCCCAGTTCAATTCCTGGCTCAGGAGGTTCTCCTGGAGAAGGAAATGGCAATCCACTGCAGTACTGTGGCCTGGAGAATCTACATGGACAGAGGAGCCTGGCGGGCTACGGTCCATGGGGTCACAAAGAGTTGAACACGACCGAGCAATTAAACACAGCACAACAGCACGTGTGTATCTATATACATGTAGATATGTTCTGTATATACACATATTTAGTAGTTCTTAAGAAAAAATACACACACGCAGAGAACACACACACACAGAAGGAGCTGAAGGACAGAGAGAACACTGCCTTATATTCCTAGACTCTTCTTGCAATGAAAGCTTGCCTGAGATCTAATACATTACTTTCTTTCCTTGGGGCAAAGCAAAAGTTGAAAGAGTCTCCAAATTTGGGTACCAATTTTAGGTAGAAAAACTGCAGGTTAACATCTAAAAGAAAGTGTGAGTTGCTCAGTCATGTCCGACTCTTTGCAACCCCATGGACTGTAGCCCACCAGGCTCCTCTGTCCGTGGAATTCTCCAGGCGAGAATACTGGAGAAGGCTGATGCAATTAGACATGAAGGTCCTTTCAAGAGAAAGACACTCCTGTGTGCCTGATGCAATGAAAGGCCGAGCAGGAGAGCACGGGTAGAGGACAGCAAGCTCTCTCTTGTTAGAAATAAGCTTTGTGGTTTCAGAATGCTGCTTGGCCCAGTTTCTCCACTGGTTTTGAAAAATGATAACCTTTGCTTATCCCGGGGGTGGCATGTGAACTGTTGTTTAAAAGTTACAATAATAAGATAAAGGGTAAGTGGGTGGAACAAAATGCAGATTGCTGGGTCAGTGACGATACGCATTGTCATCATATATCGAAATTTTTTGTCCTCTTACATTCCTCCCCCCCAGTTACATTAATCATTATTGTCTTCAGATACAACAGGGGAAGCCTCAAAAGAGCTTTCATGTGAAATGGGGAAATGGAAAGAGTGATGCGGTCTCCTTGACTGATTCGTAGTGAAGGTGGTTTAGTCTCCGGGGAGCGTGGCTCAGGCATCCCGTTGTCTTCCACCAGGTCTGCAGTGTCCGGCCGCTCCGTGGGCACCAGCTCCGTGGCTGCACCCTGCAGTGGGTACAGGCTGCACGTCTCCAGGCCAAGGGCACCCTTGGGCTCCAGGGTCTCAGGTCCAGGCTGGAGACAGTGAAGGGTATGCCCACCCATTTTCTGCAAGAGCGGGAAGGAGGGAGAGTCACGGATGCAAGCAGGGACAAGGGTGCTCCGTTGCTGAGTTGTGTCCGACTCTTGCGACCCCATGGACTCTAGCCTGCAGACTCTTCCGTCCATGGGATTTCTCAGGCAAGAACATTGGAGTGGGTTGCCATTTACTTTTCCAGAGGATTTTCCTGGCCCAGGGATCGAATCTGTGTCTTTTGCACTGCAGGAGAATACCTTACCAACTGAGC